TAACTCTAGAGACCCATGGATTCGATATTTATCACTTGAAGAATTCAAATTTTCTGGCGATTTTTGGGTCATGAAGTGAAGAGTCGCCATTCACGCCGCTTTTATAGGCGACACACGGAGTTCACGGACGCGTTGGCTTGTTCACGGTCTTAGAGACCGTGAATACTCGAATCCGTCCGTGAACTGGGGTTGGTCGATAGGTGGTGCACATGTAGAAGTGCCCAGTTCATGGACGCGTTTGCCTGTTCTTGGTCTTGTAAGACCGTGAACGCAGCAATCCTTCCGTGAACTGCAGTGAAAATAGGGCACTTCTAAAAAAATTGACTCGACCTATTCCACTGTGCGTCCTAATCGATCACAACACAACCTTAAATCGCAAAACCACAAAACTCGGCATGGGGATACCACTCGACCATGTGAACTCTTCACTTGACACAAAAACGAAAATAAAGAAAATAAAACAAACCTCTGTTGGGTTGTCTCCCAACAAGCGCTAAGTTATCGTGGGGTTCGCCTTGAGAGGCTCTCCTCCACTCACATTCACATCATTCGAAGCCAATTCCTTCACTTCCTCACTTCTAGCCTTAGGGTCAATCTCAAGAGTGATTCTCTCCTCACCATCCCTCAGAATTAAGGTCCCCTCATTAACATCTATCAATGCCTTGGCGGTGGTGAGGAAGGGACGATCGAGTATGAGTGGCATATCCGAGTCCTCACTTATGTCGAGAATCACGAAATCCGCCGGATAGCAAAACTTTCCTACTCGCACCAACATGTCCTCAACGATGCCCCAAGGGCTAATGACCGAACGGTCGGCTAAAGATGCTAAGCTTAGTGGTCCTGAGTTCACCTATTTCTAACTTTTTGAAAAGCTTATAGGGCATCACGTTAACACGAGCTCCTAGATCCTCCAAGGCATTTTCTATATGATGGTTACCAATACCAAGAGGGATAGTAAAGCTACCTGGGTCGGGCCACTTTTTGGGCAAGCGCTTGAGGAGAAAAGCTGAACACTCCTCGCCAAGAGTCACGTTGGCGAGGCCTTCAAACTATGGTCTCTTGGCGAGGAATCCTTTGAGGTACTTTGAATATCTTTGCATATGAGCCATGGCTTCAAGGAAAGGGATATTGAGGTGGAGGTTTCGGAGCATTTTCATAAAACCTCCACTCATTTTCCAACCTCTCCTTGTACATCCTTGTGGGGAAAGGAAGGGGTGGCTTGTACTCAACCACCGGAGATGGTGTCGGCGATGCCTTCCTTTCCACTTCTTTCTCCCCCCCCCCCCCCCCCCCCCCCGGCGAGGGCTCTTCATCTTCATCCTTCGGGAAGGAATCTTCATTCTCAATCACTTCTTTGGTGACAACGCTCGGAGTCACCTTCTCACTTCTCAATTGAATTGCATTCTCCCCGTCATGATCCTTGGGGTTCGCCACGGTTTAGGAAGGTAGGGCTCCCTTTGTTCTCTTGGTGAGGATCCCAGCAAGATTTCTGATTTGCACCTCCAAACTTTGGAGGCTCGCTTGATGGCTTCGGAGTCCCGCCTCAACCGAGGTAAACTTGGTAGTCTCCACATCCATAAATTGCTCAATCTTCTTGAACGTTTGAGCACTTGTGCTCACAAAGGTATTCACTAGGTCTTCAAGCTTGGATAGCTTGTCGGGTTGTTGTTGTTGTTTTTGTTGAAACCCTTGGCCACCTTGTGCTTGGTATGGTTGTTGGAAGCTCGAGTTTTGGACTTGAGGCCTTTGTTGGATGAAGGTTGGCCGAGGTTGATGATTTCCCGTGGGGTCTTGAAAACCGGGGGGTCTCGGATTATTCGGAGATGACCAAGCAAAATTAGGATGGTTCCTCCAGCCGGGATTATAATTATTGTTATACAGGTTATTAGCCCTAGCATTTTCCACGAAATTGACTTGTTCCTCTGGAGTGTTTGCCTCCTTCATTGCTTTGCACTCTGCCCTCTCATGGCTAGTGCTCGAACACCAATCACAAGACATCACTGGTCTCTTTCTTTGCCTCTTATCTTTGAGAACTACCTCGATCAACTTGTCAAGCTTTGTCTCGAGTGGAGCACTTGCTCTAACACTTCTCACTCCTCTATCATTCCTTCTCTCTCCCAAGCATCTCCCAAGGTCTCGTCTTCCTCTTGCTTGAAATGGGTGATCTTCTTTCTCTACTCAGCTGTCTTCGAAAGTGGGCAATAGCGGGTCATGAATTTGTTGAGAAGATCGTCCCATGAGGTGATTGAGCGAGGCGGTCGGTTGTTGAGCCATCGGATTGCTTTCCCCGCAAGTGAGTAGGGGAAAAGCCTCTGTTGCAAAGCTTCCGCTGGCATGCCTTTGATTTTCAAGCTCCTCGCGAGCTCAAGAAATCTCTACACATGCTCCCTTGGTGACTCGCTTGGGAGACCGTGGAACAAAGCTTGTTCTGTATCATAGCCGCCACGGGAGGGTGCACGATTGGCGATTGAATATCTGCCGGTCGTGGGGCCATATAATACCCCATTTTCCTCAGGGAATCCTCTTCCGCCAGCATCGTTTAGGTTGCGAGCTTGGGAGGCTCCCTCTTCTCGTTGGTTCCCCTCCAGTTCTACTCCAATATCGGGTTCGCCTTCCACTTCTTCAACTTCTACTCCACTAGCACCGGGACCAAATTTTTGTCCCCTTTCTTCACTTCTCCTCCTTACTTCCGCTAGCTCCCTCTCCCGTGCTAGGAGTCGAAGAGTTCATTTTATGTCCTCGTCCCGCGGCATCAAAGGTGTTGGATTACTCTGGGTCATAAACCTCCCTACACACACACTTAGAGAACAACACCAAGTCTAGCAAAAGCAAAGCAATCACAAATTCAAAACTGGAAATTAAAAGCTAGATTAACACCAAAATATTTTTTCAAGATAACAGACCGAATATCACAATTAATTCCCACCTAAGGCCCAAGTATAAACGTTAGTAGGGTGCAATATAGGGTATTTATGTTTAAATATCAACCCATGCCGGTCCATGTACCCCTACTTCAATTGTTTGAAACATTATCTAGCGGATTGGTTTTGGATGAAAATTTCGATAATTAAAGTAAAGCAAAAGTAAATGGTTTTGAAAGCTCTATGTGATAAGCATCACTCGGGTGTTGCTTCCCCCTAACTACTACCATGGCACGTGGAATCAAATTAATCATTACAGGCAAGGTGACCATGAACCGCTAGGAAATGAAACTATGGTCGTACACCACACTCTCGATTGCCAACCCAAGGGATAATTATATGCTACTCAAGTATCCCTCTTGGTCAAGGAAATCGAGGGTTGACTTACTCTCTCACTCAACCCAATGGTTGAACGGCTTAATCGCGCTTAACCAAAGTTTTTAATTCAAGATAGAGGTTTCCCCTACATTAACCTAAATAGGTGGCTTAAAACACAAGGAATCCCAACTCAATTGAGCCTCCTTTGAAAGGGGATTTTCCCTCTAAACTAGGTTAGAATGGCCAACTGGATTGCTAAGCACAAACATGCACAATCATCATGAAAAATACCTCAATCATTAAATTAAACAATACCTTCAATTCACATAACAACTACTTGGTAAATAGTTAGGGTTTCACAACACCCAAGTGAAAAAGGAAACTAATTCATGCTATAAAGGGGTAGAACACAAGAGGAAGGAGTAGAAACCATCATGGTGATGCCTCCAATCTCCTTTGAGCTTGTGTTGATATTCTCTTGGGGAGAATCTTTTCAATTCACCACTTGGAGCAAACCCTAGCCTTCTTTCTTCCTTGGTTTGTTCTTTCTCTCTCTAAAATCTGAAGAAGAAGACATTTTCTCACTCTTGGGCTCACCTTTTTCTCTTCCTTTCAGCTCACATTTTATATAGGGATCAGGCTTAGTTCACAGCTTGAGTTCACAGCTGTGAACTCCTCAACGCGTCCGTGAACTCAAAGGGTTGCGTCGAAACGCACGGCTTCACTTGCTCGGGTTCACGGGCAACAGCTCCAGTGCACGGTCTTAGCGATCGTGAACTCACCTGGCATCAGTAACCTCTGAGAATGCTATGGACACCTTGTGGTTCACGGTTTTTGCTTCCAGTTCACGGTCTTAGCAGACCGTGAACAGGCCTGAAATCGCCTCTTTTCCCGGTTAGGCCTGAAATCGCCTCTTTTCCCGGTCTTTGCTCCTTTTCGTTCAAACGACTCCTGGGAGTGGTTTCACCTGTTAGATCCTAAAATATGCTAAAACGCAAGAAACCTAGCGTAAAACCACCCTTTTAGGAGCACAAATGCCACAAATGTCCAAGGAAAACGGGGATAAAATGCGTACAATTATGCTCGAATCAAGCACATTATTTCTTGACTGTTATTGATGATTACAGTCGTGCCGTATTTTTGATGAGATAAAAATCGAATACCGCTCGGTATCTTCTTTATTTTTGCAATACGATTGCAACATAGTTTGGTGGCATGGTGACGCGCATACAGTCGGATAATGGTCCAGAATTTGCTAGCACATCCCTAGTCGTGTATTATGAAGAAAAGGGCATTGTGCTTCAGACTTCTTGCACGGATATGCCTCAGCAGAATGGCATTATGGAACGCAAACATTGGCATTTGCTGGATTCTGCGAGGGCATTGCGTTTCCACGGGAATCTTCCCATTAAGTTCTGGGGTGAATGCATTCTTACTGCAACTTATTTGATTAACAGGATGTCACTGGTTTCTATTGGAAACAAGACTCCCTACAACATTTTGTTTGGAAAAGACCCTGCATATGGTCATCTGCGCAGTTTTGGCTGTCTTGCTTATGCGTGCGACAACCATCACGGGCTGCACAAATTTGTTGAGAGGAGGAGAGCATGTATTTTTCTGGGTTACCCTTTTGATCAACGTGATATTCAGAAGAAACACATATATACTTCTCGTGATGTTCGGTTTCTTGAGTATGTCTTTCCCTACTATGACATGGATGAGGCTCGGCTTACCCCCGTTACAGTTTTTTCGCCCCAGTCCATGGTTCCCTCGTCCGTCATTGAGGATGCAGCAGTTCAGGAAGCTTACAATGAAGATGTCGCTTCTCCTCTGTCAGCGCAGAGCACACCCTTCGCGGACTCGAGCAGCACGCCCCCACCCACTGATAGGTCTCCCTTGTCGTTCGTTCCTGCTGGAGCCTCTTCTCCCTTGCCGTCACAGGCTACTTCATTGTTAGCTTCCCCTTCCGCGCCGGCTAGCGCGTCTTCTGCTTCTGTTCCGGATCCTCCACCTCTTCGCCGTAGCGATCAAGTTCGGTAGCTCTCCACTCAACTCGTGGGCTACGACATGCAGCTACCTGGGACAGCCCACTCTGCCACTGCTCTATATCCGATGGACGACTACCTAAGCTACCATCGCCTCTCGGCTTCTCATCATGCATTTGTTGTTGCGGTCACCGCCATTGATGAGCCCCAGTTCTTCTTCCAGGAAGTTCATTACAAGCAATTGTGTGATGCCATGCAGGTAGAAATCTCACCTCTCGAAGCCAATGACACTTGGACCTTGGTTATTTGCCTCCAGGAAAGCGAGCTATTGAATGTAAATGGGTTTACAAGATCAAGTTCAATCCCTATGGATCCATTGAGTGTTACAAGGAGCGCCTCGTGGCGAAAGGTTTTACAAATATTGAAGGTGTGGATTTCCATGACATCTACGCTCCAGTCGCCAAGTTGGTCATCGTTCGTTGTCTGCTTGTTGTTGTTGTTACTAGGGGTTGGCACATCCACCAGTTAGACGTCAATATTGCCTTTCTCCATGGTGATTTGGAAGAAGGGGTCTATATGAAGATTCCGCAATGTTTCTCACGCCCAGGGGACACACGTATTGGTCGTCTAAATAAGTCTCTTTATGGTCTGCGTCGGGCTTCGCGGAATTTGTACCAGAAGTTTACTCAAGCCCTACTCGAGTTTCAGTTTGTTCAAAGTCATGCGGATCATGCTTTATTCACACATCGCCATGGTTCTTTTTCTGTGGTATCTCTTATCAATGTTGACGATCTCATCATCACAAGGAATGATCTTTCTTTCATTCAAAAGGTCAAGACTTCCCACCACGATCGATTCACGGTCAAGGATCGTGGTACTCTAAAATATTTCTTGGGAATCGAGGTTGCTCGATCACCTAAGAGGCTCGTTCTTAATCAGAGGAAGTATGTCCTCGATATCCTCACCGCAACTGGATTAACTGCTACGCGCCCTTACTCTACTCCGATAGAGCAGCAGCATCACTTGGGATGTGGCCACTCTCCTCCTGTGCGTGATCATGCAGCTTATCGTCGTCTTGTTGGTCGTTTACTATACCTGACAGTCACTCGTCCAGACATAGTTTATGTTGTTAATATCCTCAGTCAAGCCATGCAATCACCTACTCAGGCTCACGAGGCGGTCGTTGCTCGTGTTCTCTGATACCAAAAAGGCTCCGCTAGTCGAGGTATTTTTCTTTCTTCTTCGGCTCCACTTACGTTAACCGGGTTTTGTGATGCGGATTGGGGCGGCTGCCCCACCATTTGTCGTTCCACGACAGGTTTTCTTTATCACTCTTGGTGGTTCACCCATTTCTTGGCGAACTAAGAAGAAGACGGTTGTCGCCCAATCATCCACAGAGGCAGAATATCGGGCTATGGCCAGTACAGTGAGTGAGTTGATCTGGTTGTGATGGCTTCTTCGAGATCTTGGTGTTTTCTCTCTTGCGCCTACTGTTTTACACTGTGATAATCAAGCAGCTCTCCACATTGTTACTTATCCAGTTTTCAATGAGCGTACTAAACGCGTGGAGATGGACTGCTACTTTGTCAACGAGCGCGTTCAATCCGGTGAGATAGTCCTGTGAAGATCGCTCCGATCAACCAGCCGATTTATTTACGAAGGGATTGAGAGTTGATCAGTTCCATCATCTCTTTGTCAAGCTTGGCCTTCTTGACATTCACTCCTTCGTTTGAGGGGGAGTGTAGTGATCTCTAACTACACACTAATAAATTTAGGGATCACTCTTGTAATTTTCATTCTCTCCACGTTGTATGAGGATTCGGAGGGCTAGGGTTACTTTTCGTGTGTGTGTGTGTGTGTGTGTGTGTGTGTGTGTGTGTGTGTGTGTGTGTGTGTGTGTGTGTGTGTGTGTGTGTGTGTGTGTGTGTGTGTGTGTGTGTGTGTGTGTGTGTGTGTGTGTGTGTGTGTGAGCAGCCGCACCTAGCGTTGTAACCAAGAGAGAAGAACGAGTTGTGATAATAAGATTTCAGCCCGAGAGCCTCAAGCTCTCCGTGAAGTAATCTCGTTCACATCGAACGGGGAAACCACGTAAATCTTGTGTCTTGATTTACTTTCTTTACTCGCACTATTGATTTTTTTACAAAAAATAAATAACCGTAATTTTCACTTCCTAATTCGTCCCAAATATGGTTGCAGTTTAAAACTATGAAAAATTACCTAAAGAGCATCAAAAGCACACTTAATATCTAGAATGTTATATAGAGGCAAGTGACATTGATGGCAAATGGGTCTTAAATTTTGGCAAATCCAACTTATTATGGGCCAAATCAAGTTTGGGTAAATTTGTGTTTGGGGATACCCATACCCAATTGTTTAGTTTGGGTCTCAATTTGACCCATTGTATTGGAAGTCCAAAAAGAAAATGGGTATCCAATTACTAGCTTGCTACCCGGCCCGTTGGCCGGATGCATTTCTTCAACAGTTTATATAAAATAGAATTACTAAAAATGTAAAAAAAAAACAACTTACAAACATAGAATTTTCTGCCAATCTACCTGATTAATCAATGAATGTCCTTACTAAAAGTAAAAATATAACTCATGTAAGATAATCAATCCCATTATTTTTAACTTCGTTGCGATTGCTCTGCCTAATAGCATCATCATCTCCACCAATTTGTAAAAAAAAAATCTCCACCAACAACAATGCTTTCATTTCTATCAATGAAAACGATCTCTACCATCAATAGTCAGGATCCACTACCTCCGC